AGTTGCCTTACCAAGTGTGGGGTCAGTGCTAACGAGGCCAATTCAGTTAGGTTGGATGTGGCCCATTCCCAACAGTTGGCAAGAAGGGGTGAATATCAATAGAGGGGAAATTACTTTTTGTAGTGCTAACGAGGCCAATACACTATAAAATGTAGTTTTCCCTCTGTTGATATTCACCCCTTCTTGTCAATTGTTGGGAATGGGCCACATTCACCCTAATTGAATTGGCCTCGTTAGCACTGACCCCACACTTGGTAAGACAACTCCCATCGTTTCATGTGCTGTATATTTATACCTGCCTACTTTTTTTCACTCCATGCATCTGATGAAGTGGGTTATAGCCCACGAAAGCTTATGCCCAAATAAATTTGTTAGTCTCTAAGGTGCCATAAGGATTCCTAGTTGTTTTTGCTGATACAGACTAACACGGATACCCCTCTGAAACCTCCTTCAGGCCATGACCCACCACTGACTGATAGGGGAAGGAAGAAGCTTCGCTCGTGGGTAGGTTATTCCATAATTGCCTACTACAGAGTTTCTTTCACCTTCCTTTGAAACATCTGTTTCTGACCATCGTCTGAGACAGAATACTACACACGCCATTCATCTAGTCTGGTATGGCTATGTTCCTCCCTGACGTTCTCACAAGTCTTAGTTACCTATGCTTTCCCCTTAAGAATTCATAACGTGAAACTATTATTAATTGTAATTTTGATGCATGTTTTGATAATGAAGCTTCCTACTAGGGAAAGAACTGGAACTATTATTTCAGTTCAGATAGGCCACCAAAGAGGTGTCAGAGGTTGCTGACTGGTCACACCCAGCCCTGTGCCAGATTTGAACTAATCAACTAGAGAGGAAAGGTTCCTTACCCCATTAACAGTCCCCTAAGCTCTGCATTCTTGGGTTTGGCTGCCATACTTGCTCTGTTATTTGCTAAAGTGGGCTCAGTCTTCATTGACGAGCTCTGAGCCTGTCCTCTTGCAAATTCAGAACAGACCTGTGGGATGGCAACTGATTCTCTGAAGCTGTCTCATGTAGTTGTATATTTTGACCAGCAGATGGCGAAAAATACTTGCAGTTCAGCAGCTGTTTGAACTAAAAAGGCTTTGAACACAACAAGTAGTAGGAAATGTGAAAACTTGCTGTGTGTGTGTATGAAAATGCTTTGGTAGAGATCTAAGGAAATATGTCTTCACTATTGATTGCTTTTCCACTAGGAGTTAGGCTAAAGCCAGAGAGACTGGCAGAAAGTTTTTGTCAGGTATGATTTGCCTAAATTATCAGACTGTCTGAACTACACGTTCACTTTCTAGTTGGGCTGATACAGCCCTTAATCCTTTTGAAGTACTGGTGCAATGCATTTCAGTAGTATTTCGAATAAGATGGTGAAAAGATCCCTTTCTGTAAGAGTGGAAATATGACAGTGGTGGGAAGGGGTACTACTTGGCCCTTGTGAACAAGCGTTAACATAAGATCAGCTTCCCCCTTCCCTTGCATAGGTGGTATGAGTGTGGCTTGGGGAGGGAATATCATTGGGGAGGTCAGGACCCACATCCAGGGCTCCTGCAGAAATTTTCTGTTTACTTTCTAATTGTAAACTTTGTCATAAACTCTTGAGGAAGAAAACTCTTCTGTGGAACTGTTCCCCCAGCTTACAGGGTGTCCTTAGTCAAAATTCCACCTATCTACTGCAGCGGGCAATTGTTGGCTGGTATTCTCCACCTATGAGGTAGCTGAATTTCAGTACTGCAGAGCACTAGGATCTTGGGATGAAAGGTGCTAGACGAATTTGGAAGAATTGACTAGTTAGATCAGACTTGCTAACTGATGGTGAGCAGCCTGTGTTTGTAAATCAGAATTGTTTAGACCCTGGGCTGCTTCTCGAGTCACAAGTAGGAGCTCAGGTAAAGAGAGGTTTTTCCTTCTGCATCTGGTGTAGTGAGTTTGACCTTTGATTTTGGCTACAGATCTTATTAATCTAATTAGTATTACAGCAGTGCTTAGAGGCTAGGGCCCATTTTGCCAAGCACTGTACAAATATATAACGTGTGGACCTTTATATTGTCATTTGTATTACTATAGTGCCTAGTCACCTTAGTAATGGACTGGGACCCCATTGTGCTAGATGCTGTACAAGGCACAACAGACAGACAGATGGAGTGATTACAGTGAGACAACATTGGTCAGCATGATGGGCAGTGGTCTCAGGATACCAGTGGCTTAACTGTTGTCAAGATGTTTGTAGATATCACAGCAAAGTAGTTTTAGGGAGGGATTTGAAGGAGGATAGTGAGGTGGCTTTACGGACATTTATGGGGAGCTCCTCCCAGCATGAGCAGCAGCATGGGAGAAAGCACGAGGATGCTTGCTTGAAAATTTAACAAGAGGGCAATGGAAGATGAGGGATCATGGGCCAATTGGAGGTATGAGTCAACATCTCAATAGTGAGTGACACAATAGGTATGTGGGGGGTGGGGCGGGGGGGAAGAGAGGATATGACATTCTGGAGTGAATTCCAGACCAGTGAGAAGCTGTGTCACTCTTGCCCTGCAACCTGTGGTGCCTCACAATGCTTTGCTGCTGTAGCTTCCAACCTGGTCCCCTCATAAACAGCCTAACTGCGTGCAGATCCCACCTGAGTGTCTGTGTATAGCTACAGCCTTCCAGCACATTCCAGTCACACTCTAGTTTGCATCAGCTTTGATTACCACTTGCAGGGTAACTCCAACACATTCCTAGTCCTCAAAACTTGTTTCTGCACACTCCAGCCCTCTCCTGGACAGGTCAGATATTTTAAGTCCATTGCCCCTCTAAGGGGATCAATATCAACAATTTGCTACTTTAAATGGAGTTACCCACACAATTCAGTTTAAACACAGCAGTGGATTAGTTTTGATTAAACAATAAAACAAATGTATTTAACTACAAAGAGATGGGTTTTAAGTGAGCACAAGTATAAGTCATTAAAGTCAGAAATGATAACAAGGGAAATAAAGATGAAATGCTTCCTAGTACTAAGATTTGACAGACTAGACTTGGTTCAAAGTGAAATCCCTTACCATGTATTTCCAGTAACATTGCTGACCAACTTCTCAGGCCAAGATCTGCTTCCAAAGGCTGTTTCTTTTGTTGTCTTAAGTGAAAGAGAGAGAGAGATATGAATAGAGAGAGAGACCTTGAGGTGTTTTTCCCTCTCACTATTATAGTC